AGAAATTAGCAGCGCTGCACGTATGTGCTTCTTTGCTGTCCAAGATGTATTTTCAGCTGTAAAAGACAATTCAAGTTGAATGACGACCAACTAGCCTGATTTCTAACTAAGCCTCTATAGTGCTAAAAACCACGGTATTTAACCTGCCCCCTGGCTCAGTGGGTCAAGTTAGGGGGCAAGTTTAACAGCTGAGCTTCCTACTGAGCTCGAGTCCACAGCTTTATTTGTGGCCACTTTGCAAACTGCCGCGAAGGTTCCAAGTTATCATAAGCGAGGCTGATCAGATTTATCATAGACTAAAGCAGAAACAATTCTCGGCCGTTCACTACGGAAAAATTTGGACATTAAAAACGATTCGTTACACTCATCGGCTCACAACAGCTTCGACAGAGCAGCGGTGATTATATACCCTTTTCGAAGAAAATTTTTCGAAAGCAGAAAACGCTTTTAATGGTCCATAAACAGTTTTCTCAATTCTATTCATTACTGCATCAACAGGTGACAGCAGAATAAAAGCATGAACAAGTGAAGTAATATTATAGGGCCCCGTTTCAGCCCTCTCCTGCTCTGCAATACTACAGGACAAGACGCAAAAGCGTCGCGCAGGCGATACGCACCGCAGGGAGCCTACAAGAAAAATCATCACAGCAAAAATGTTCACGAAAGTCTGCTATGTTGTAACACATAGCAAACTTTTAGTAACACATAGCAAACATAACATTTTCATTCTCCCGTAAGAACAAAATTGAGTGATTACTCTATTGACGGAAAACTTGGCCTTACTTGTTAGTTTTCCCAGCGTGGAGCCAAGAGTGACCGTGGTGCCGTGTCAAAAGGAGGGGGGAAGGGGGCTAGCACCCCCTTTGTTCCCCCGGCTGCTACGCCTATGCGAGTCGCACTTCATAACAAGCGGCAGCAACGCGCATATTGCGTTTGCGTTTGCCGATGAGCGCACGGCTCCTGAGCCAAAACAAGCCCTCCACTACGGCGTCTCTCATAATTATATAGTGGTTTTGGGACGTTAAACCCCACATATCAATCAATCAATCTGAGCCAAAACAAGCTACCTTCATTGCTTTCGCGAAATACTAAAATATGGCGCAGCGCAAGTAAATTGTTATTCGCTCAGGCAAATATCAGCGAACGGAATTTCCATTTTGAATAACCGCCTGAAGTTTCGAAGCACGACCGGTTTCTTTTTTAGGGGGAAACGCTCGAGATGTACAAAGCTTGCACACGCCATCCTGACGTGCAAACTTTGCGAACACTTGCCGGTGAACACCGCAAAAGAAATAGCAATAAATCTTGGTTAGAGCTTTTCGTTGAGTCTGCTCAGAATGCCATCGTCACAGCGGTTACGGTGCTTGGTTGTTGAGCCGAAGGTTCAATGCCGGCTGCGGCATTTGGATGCCATGATCCCTGTGCGACGTCAATGCATGTTCACCAGAAGACCAAAAGCTTTTTGGCCCTTCACTACGGCATCCCTCACCATCACGTCCTGCATGGCTGTTATAAGGACACTCTTCTGCAACATATATCAAGCTTGACCCAAACTATTGTTCATATTCTCGCAAGGTTTCGGGGCGTAACAGCACAGGTCTTTGGCGTCAGTGACTCTAAACCGAAGTTGTCAGGCACGTGCGTTTGGTCATGAGCAGATTCTGTGCGAGCAATTCGATATAGATTAGCGATTTCTTCGAAGTGTATTTATTTAATCACTGGCTGAAACAAAGAAAATAAAAACGAGAAGAGGAAAAAAAGTTCAGCAGATCCCAGGTACCAAGCAATTGACCTTGTGCGAAGCATGCGGAGGGAAGGAGACTGTTGTACTTCTTTTATGGAGTGACATCGCATGAAATGACGCTTTATATATGTACAAATGTTGCACGTGCAGATATACGTTGAAGAGTGGTAGATGTTTATATAACCAGTTCTTCGCACTTGAGCAACGATGCCAACCGAAACACGTGTATCAGCAACACCAGAAGTTTATACGGCGAAGCGCTGATACTTGCGAGAATGCTGGCCCTCGACACGGCAACATAAATCAACTTCAGCGCATGGCAACTAACCACAATCAACCTTAACCCGACGTGATGGCTGTATCAAAGAAGTCTATATGTAATGTTCACAAAATTGGGTAGGCAGCAATGCAACCACTATTGACGTTTCACGAAGATTACCATCTGTTCGAAAAGTAGTTCCAAGACCTGGCATAGCTAGCTTCATTGCCCCGCAGCATGCTTGGGTTCGATTTGAGCTGGGCCGCTGACATTTATTCTTTGAATTCGTCGGGTTAACCCTACTGATGTCGAGTATTTCTTAATTCTCACGTGTTAACATCGCCCATATGTGTTCTCGTCGTTCCTGGCTAAATCCTAAGCATCAATTACATGTGGCCCATACCCGCATACCAGCGGCACATGCCCGCCAATGGGCATGTGCCACTGTCTGGCGGGAAGTGTTTGACGACCATCTTACCCTTCCATGCTAATTTTAGTTCACGCCAAGTTAAGGGGTTGATCACGCGAGCACCCAATTGTAAGTGGCTAGATAGATAGATAGATAGATAGATAGATAGATAGATAGATAGATAGATAGATAGATAGATAGATAGATAGATAGATAGATAGATAGATAGATAGATAGATAGATAGATAGATAGATAGATAGATAGATAGATAGATAGATAGATAGGCTCAAAGTCACCGAAGTTCTCTAAGAAATGCTTCGCATTTAAAAACAGGTCCACCCAGTTATATACGCACTAGCTTCCGGTACAGCGAAAGCTGCCTCGAGTTCCTTTTTTTCTTACATCGTTCCGTCATCCTATAGCAGTTCCAATTTCCAGCAAAAAAAATAACATAAAAGTTTATTTTGAGCACGTGAACAAAATTCAACAAACCATATAAACAGCGCCGTTATATGGGATTCCCGTCTCAGAAATTCTTGTTTACAAACATTGAATCCCATCTTTCTCTCAGCAAGCTCTGATCTTTGAATGTAGAAATCACGTGTCGCGCACATGTGTTTCACTTTCTTTTGCGTTTTTTCCAATACTGTGAGAAACTGCCAGTCGTCAGAGCCTCAAAAAGGCCTGAAGTACAAGACCCCTATTCGGTTTGTTGGTGCATTGTTCTGCCCACATTTGCCTAGGCATTTTCTCTCTCCACCAAATGTCCTGCAGAGTACCATGTAACCAAATATATGCTGGGCAATCGTTCTGCTGCTTAACAAAATTTGCGATAGAGGCGGGAATACTTGGGGCTTGTGTGCTTAGATTTAGATACACGTTAAATAACTCCAGAGGGTGTAAATCTCCGCAGGCCTCCACTACGGTGTCTCTCATAATTATAATGTGGTTTTGATGCGTTGTACCCCAACAATTGTTCACTAATTTTCTCATCATTAGTCATTCCTGGTAATTCACTCGCTTGAGCAGTGGAGCGAAGAGTGCTCGACAATTATTGAACAGTTTCAAACGTCACCTTCCCCAAACAAAGTGAGAGCCAACGTTAAGGAAAGAACACAATACGCAAACACGAAGATGAAAAAAAAAAGATCCCACGGCTTTCACTGTAAATCAAACACTCTTTGGAGCCAAGAAGGAGTGCCCAGATAAACGGCGACAATGAAGGAGGAACGTGAGGCCAAATAGCGTAGGCGGCTAATAATACTCCCACTTGGTAACTTTGTCAGCAAATTTTTCAAACATGCATGTTTAGATTTATTCACAGCAGATATAAATGCACTGGTAGTATGTAAAAAGAATTTATTTACTTGGCACAGTGTAATAAAGCCTTTGTCAATATATATTGCTACTTAAGAATGGCCATTTCACAACCCGGCACACCCTGCGTGAAAGTGATTGAGGAATATGTTGTTTTTAACGGTGCCTACAAATATTATTTTTCCTGAGTACCATAATTGTTGACATGTTTATTACAAATTCACGAAAGTAGGTTGGTAAACGTGCACGTGCACTTCTGTATAGTCTGGGTTGCAATGTACCATTTATTCATTACTTCGTTCTTATTGGCGTTGTTGACGTGCTATTTTCATGTATTTCTTTACTTTTTGCCTACTGTTGCTTGGATCAGCGAATTTGCCATATTCTTGAATGAAAGCTATAAAAAATTTTCATACAAAGCGAGAAAACTACATAAAACAAGAATAAGCTAAAAGCATATAAGGTACATGGCGTCATTCAACTATGCCTCTGCTGTGCTAGGTGGTGTAGTGCTGCCGCACCTGAAATGATAGTTTATCTGCCCTGTCGCGTTAAACGTATTAGTGTATGCCAATGCAATACAAGCGTATATGGAACGAGAGTCAAATCATGACGTGTCAGCTGCTTAATCGGACTAAGGCTGTTAGACGTAAAGCAAGCTAGTTTATTTTTACAGAAATAGGTAGGAACTATTCATATAGAACAAACCTGTGTTCTGCAATACCACTGAAATAGAGAGAGGCTTGTGATAACGGCGAATCTATAAGCACAATCGGAGCGTATACGAAAAGAGAGCGGCATGGATTTCTTCTCATTTGCGCTGTTTTTGAGCGCGTTCTTGCTCATTTCGTGTAAGTGGCTAGGCCACGCAATAACTGTAAGAGAGTAGGCGCGCTGAAAATGCCTGATATAAAAAATGCTACGTCTCTTAGCTCTTGGTCTCTTTATGCGACTTTTCACGTGTAACTCCTAGTTAACTTTGCTACCTTTCGCTTAACCTTCATATGCATGTGCACACATATGTAAACATCTGAAAAGCAAATAATTTAGCGTTGTATTCGCTAGTTATACACACTAAACACAACCAGCCTTAGAAGGTTTAACATCGATGAACGACTCTCGCAAAATTAGCGACTTCCAAAGCAGCGACTCGCCAGGCTTTTGTGGTGTGAGCAAAACTGAAATAATAACGAAACAAGAAGGACGCCTCGTACGTTCACCCGAAGAATGAACGAATCGGATTCCTCAGTGAAAAAAATTAATTGCTCACCCCACTGCGTTAGAACAGCGCCGGCTGATCGTCCTCGTTTAGTCCTTACGGGGATGTCAAGACGTCAAAAAGCTGTGCGACGCCTTTGAAGCTCGCGACTCGCAGTTGCTGTCAGTGTTGACCAGGCAGTCTCTTTATATAGTGGCGCAGTTGCCTCACATGCTTCGGAGAGGTCCGAGTGGGGAAGTAAGTGAGTGCGTCACTTTCTCCCGCGTGCATCTTTTCTCCTCTTCTGGACTGCCATGCCGCCGAGATGTATTCACGGCACCGCGTGAATCTTTTTCCGCGGCTCGTGTTGGTGGAGCGGCCTTCACACTTTCGCTTCAACGAGTGCCACGCATCACATCCGCGACGTCACGAACCCTCGTATGCGAGAGAAAGCAAGCGGTCTCCTCCACGCGGTTGTCTGGCGAGATCGGCGAAAGTGTGATGGCGCGCTACTTTCGTCTGGTGTGCAGCACCGTCGGCAATTGACAGACCACCTGATCAGCGGTGCTGCCCCGACCTACGGTGTCCACTCGTGTGCTTCCGCTGTCGGATACATCGGATCTATTTTTTCCGCGCGGAAAGCAGTACGAATTATATACGTATGCGAAATTTGTTGCTGGGCGAATTAGACCCTTCCATGCGGGATACTGCAGATGCAAGACAGAACAAAGACAGAACTTTGATCCGCAGGAGCAGCGTTACTCGCAAATCAGCTTCATCATGAAAAAGCTTACCTACACGTGCACACAGCCGGGTTCGCCCTCCGTTAAGGCTCGTTCACATCGGTGACTGGTGACAGGAGAGTCACTCAAGACAACGACTGTTCGTCGCCACACAAGAATAATGCTGCCTCGCATATAAGGTTGCAACTCCACTACCACATAAAATTATTCGACTTTACAGGGCATGTGCTTGGTTCACATCTTCGCGGCCACGACACTTAAAGAACTTCAAAGACCCTTGAACGTCACCTTCAAGAGTGGAATGTGATGGGGCAATTGTGTCATTGCCTTCGACCATGCCACAAAAGAAGCAACGTTTGCCCCTGTAATAGTGGATGTTTCAAAGTATTTTAGTATGTATACTCGCTGAGCCCCGCTTTCTTTCGGTAATTGACCGAGTATACTTGTCCGCAAGGTTCCACGTGTGCTTGCGCAGAAGTTGTCTATTTAAAGAGTGGGCAGTTTGATACTCATGGCACCATTCCCTTGTATCGACGCCTTGAGCGATTCGAGGATTCATGCAATGTTGATTGATTGATATGTGGGGTTTAACGTCCCAAAACCACTATATGATTATGAGAGACGCCGTAGTGGAGGGCTCCGGAAATTTCGACCACCTGGGGTTCTTTAACGTGCACCCAAATCTGAGCACACGGGCCTACAACATTTCCGCCTCCATCGGAAATGCAGCCGCCACAGCCGGGATTCGAACCCGCGACCTGCGGGTCAGCAGCCGAGTACCTTAGCCACTAGACCACCGTGGCGGGGAACTTCATGCAATGTTACATGCGTTAAAAAGGCTAACGTTCATACAAATAAAAGTGCTGAAGTTCGGGTGAGAAGGTCTTCCATTAATTAAGTTAGCTTCTTATAGCGAATTATATATAAGAAAGAAACATGATGTAGTCTTGAAGACCTACTTTTATCATTACGTGTGTGCAGGACTTTTTTCCTAAAGGTACTGCCCTAATACAGGCTAGCTTCATAATAATGAAAATCAGGGCCAGTGGAGTTGCTTGTCGTTCGTCCTTTGAAGCAGCGCACGCGGGATGAAGACGAAGTGGAGCACTCAACAAGCTCACAAAGAAGCTGTATCAGGGAAAAAGAAGTTCCTATAGTCGGTGACAAGCTAAATTTAAAAAGTAAAGTGTACCACTGTCCATTTGTATTATGTGCGTCCAATTGCGACCGCTCATTATAATATGACGTAAGAGTCACGATGAGCCAATGACAAATTCAGCATAGCATCATTCGCGACGAGAGGCGATGTGCCGCTGCACCGAGACCATCAGGCGCCCATTTGGTTTTCTGTGGTGTTTTCTTCGCCAAGAAGAAGCTGTTTCATTTACTCGCCCTTAGCATCATCGTCGTCGGCCGTCATTTGATGCTGGGTTTTGTGATTTTGCATCGTTTCAAGTGCACCAGAGCGGCAGAGCTTCCCCGCGTTCCATCGGTTCGGCAGCAAGAAGCAGCAACATGCCGTCTATTCTCTGCGCCGCTAGGATGATCATTCTCGACCATTGTCGTCGTGGTCATTCGTGTGCAGTGAAAGGAATGTGAGTGTGCGTGGTCTGTGGAATGTGCGCGTCTGTGATTTACCGCCCGAAAAAGTGTGTCATCAACGTTGCCACATGAGCGTGTGTAAGCGTGTTAATTTGGGTGTCGCAACGTGAGACTATTGGTGATCGTTTGCGATATGCGCTGCGTTTTGCACTAATATCAGTGTTGTAAATGCGGGTGATGTGAAATAAAAAAAGAACTGAGGGGACCTGCTAGCGTCACACAGTACGAGAGTAAACAAAACAGGATGGGAGAATGCATTTGTTTATGTATTAAAAATCGAATTGTGGACAACGTGTGTGTCTAAATATTTTGATATGTGTCAATTGGCACAGCCGCGTCATTTTAATGGAATCGATTGCCACCGTCTAATAATTACATGCCAGATTGAAGTGCCCGTTGCGTTAGCGCTTATCTCACGCTCTAAGTATATATGAACGCATTGCATGAAAAACGCCGTGAGAGGTTATTCAAGTTGGAATGGACGGAACCTATGTTATATTGCTGCATCGATCGTTGTGGACGCAGCGACCATGATCAATCACGATCACTTACATCGATCGTGGTCGTCACTCAAGCGACACCACTAAAGCTATTGTTGAGCGAAAAAAAAATAAACGTTTCGTTTTTTAAAATATTGTATCATTCTTAACTATATCACATTATTACGTCTTACCTTTTGTATATATATTTTTTCATTTTGTCTGTATTGCGTGCATGTATTACGCATATATATATAACTTGTTTATATTAAATTAAAGCTCCATGAAATAAAAGACGATGCCTTCCACTTCCCTGTGATAGCAAAGTCTGGCGCGCGATCCACTCGTATTCCCCGGAGAGCGAAAACCCCCCTGCCTGCATAGACACACCATCGCACAGACTAATTCATTGAAGGTAGTGGCCCCTGTTGCAGCAAAACTGGGTCCCGCTTTGAAAAATAAGATATTCAAGAGCTGACGGGGTGATGGCAACACAACGCAGTGCAAGTTGTCGAATTAAGAAAAAAAAATTCACCTACAGCTTTTAGTTGCCGTGACTTTAGCCACGTACATCGCCTTCTCCTTAACGACAACGTACGCCCGCTGTTAAGCACAATGTGCGCTACGCGCTTTTACTTCGATGAAACAACACGTCGAATGAAACACTGGCGTTTATCTGAAACACGATGACAATTTCGGTGACTCGAAACGCACACTTGGTACTTAAGACAGCGCAAGAATCAAAATTCGCGAAGCCAACCTCAGGTTGCTTCTCTGTTGTTCGCGTTAGGTCATAGTTGCCATAATTACAGAAGACAGCGAAGAAATCTGGTAGCGAAAGTTTCGTAAAAACTTGCAAACAACCTAACGAAATGTGAATACTGCCCCCGTTTCATTTTCTGAAACCGCAAAAGAACAAGTTACTTATCTTAATCTTCACGTTATATGTGGTATTGTTTGCTTAGTACAGCCTTAGGTACCACGCAGAAACATCGCCTTCGAGAGATGTGCATTGCTTCTTCCTGGACTCCAAGATGGGTGCAGTGGGGGGGGCCATTTAAACAATAAATATATTTCTAAGCATCATGACACAGAATTCCGCGCATTCTCAAGTTTATTCAGCAAGCTTCGGATTGTGTATTTTAACTCCAATCAAGTATCGTAAGGTAATGGTTGTATGCGTAAAATTACGGCCATTGTTTGAGAACTATATCCTTGGTGGAGCGGAGGCATGGAAAAAAAGGACAATGGACCTCGTGGGTGGAGCCTATATTTATTTTTAGGTTGTCACCGACTATACGCACATAAAAGGAGCACATGTATCACCTTGCCTAGGCTATGCGTATGAACCCGTTCCTAACATACACAGATATTCTAGAACATCAAAGACTCGAAAGACGGAAACTTCTGCCCCCGGGGCAAAGGTCAGTAAAGAATTTCAGGTAGCGTGGCGTCGCGTGCAGACCTTGTCTTACCCCAATCCATACATACTGTTCAAGATATATCCCGACACATACGCTCCCCAGTGCAGGTTCTGCGTCACTAAAACAGTCACCCTGTACGACATAGTATGAGAATGCCCACACAATCCACCTATACAAGCCTGAGCACAGCACAACACTGCAGGGTGGGAGGCAGCTCTGTCCAGCAAGGATCCGAAGACCCAAGAGGCCCTCGTGAGACGAGCGAGAACAGCGGCCCGCGCCATGGGATCCCGGACTAAGGAGCCCACTCACAGACACTCCTTTCTCGGTCACAAATAAATGTTTTATTCTCTCTCTCTGTCTAGGGGCAAGAGACCCGCCGGCTAGGCGATACAGATAAACTTGAGTATCCCTGTTTCAAAATGCTGCATAAGTATTTACACTCCGCGTCACTGCCTGAAATGGATGCGAGGCTGACACACCCGTTGATTTTCCTTCGAATATCAAAAGCCTCAGTTACATCCCTTGCTAAATGCTTTGTATGGTGTGACAGTATCATAGTGTCCTTAAAAAGTGCGCAGCAGCATTCTTGACAATGCGCGGCCAGAGAGAATGGCTTTTTCCGACAAAAAACGTTCATGTTCCCCAAGGGGAATATTTACGTATATTTCAGTTTGACCGCTATAGGTTTTCCCGCATAATAGTTGTGTCTGATAGACAATCGCCTCCTAATCATCTGTGCAGAGGAAGCTGTGGTTCATTTCACAGCAGTGATAGAGAACATTTATATTGCTATTCGTGAGCTTAGAATTGCTTATGTGCACTTTACCTACTCAAACTCCAACTTGTGTGGAAACCAAAAGACCTCATCACCGCCATAACGCTAGCCCACGTTCTTCAAACGGTTTGCCACACGGTTTGTATATAGAATGAAGATGTACTTTTTTTTCTGGTTACACGTTGTTCATCGTTCTC